TTGGTAAAAAATGTAAATTTCTATTATTGGACATAATATGTCCAATATCATACTCTATTTATATCCCGGGAATTCTTATGTGAAATTGTCCCCTGAATCCGAAAAGACCACCAAAAACTATAAAAGTTAAGCAGTTTTTGAGATATAGTCAATTCCATATATGTAAAATTGATTATATTTCAAAAACTGTTCTACTTATACAGGGTGAGTTTTAAGTTGACGCGTTCCTTTTAACAGCGTGTAGAAATCAGATAAACAAATAAATATTTTAAGTAACTTTTTTATCAAAACTCAAAAATAAGAGAGTTATAGGCCTTCCAAGTTTAATTAAATTTTGAGCCGGTCCTGGCTATTGTTAACAAAAAACATAACCATAAAAATAAAAATTACAAAATAAACAATGCAAAATGTCATCTATGACAACAAACATAACAAATCAAAATGACATTTAGCAATGAAAAATGTCAGTTTTTTTGTGCCTCAATTATTGTTAAAAATGGTTTATAATTATAGCAATAATGAATTATTGGAAATGTTACTAATTTATGGAGAGTGTCGTCAAAATGCAAATGCTGCAACTTTTAAGTACTTAAAAGTAAATAATGACATTTTTTATTGCAAAATGTCAATTTGATTTAAATGGTTATGTTTGTTGTCAAATATGACATCTTGCATTGTTTCTTTTGATATTTTTATGGTTATGTTTTTCGTTAACAATAGCCAGGACCGGCTTAAAATTTAATTAAACTTTGATGGGCTATAACTTTTTTATTTTTGAGTTTTGATAAAAAAGTTACTTAAAATATTTATTTGTCTAGCTGATTTCTACACACTGTTAAAAGGAACGCGTCAACTTAAAACTCACCCTGTATAACTTTTGATGACATTTTCGGATTCAGCGTACAATATGACTGCTAAATGTCCTGGATACAAATTGCTGTAGACGAGAATTATTAGTGGCTGCTTTTTCGCTATGACATTTTTGACTAATTCATTTTTAGAGAGTAAGTAATATAGTGATTTCTTCGTCAAAGGACATCTTGCAGAATAACAGTGATTTAAATACAGTGCATGATAGAGAACATAAAAAACTAATGGCAGCAAAATTAATATATTCGGAAAATACTTTTAACATACCACCCGAAAAAATATTAGATATTTATAAATCATCCTGTTCCGACCTAAACATTATAAATGCTTCACAAACTAGAGATACCACACTTAATGATATTTGCAACCAACTATTTTAGAAGTCAGACCAAGGAATTAGTAGTTACCTTCAGAATCCAGAAAAGGGATGAGGAATCCGAGAAAGAAATATATGAATTATGATATTTACAAAAACGAAATAAAAAAAAATTACCTAAGACAGCAATTTATCTATAAATAATATTTAACAATTTATGTTATTTGATGTAAAGTTGTTATGTTTATATAAAAATTGTATGTCCAATAACTATGATCCATGTGTCCAATTACTATATAAAATGTCCAATTACTATTCTTTTTTGAATGTTTTTATAAAACTAATATTAAAAATTCAAATATTCTTATTTTTAAGTATCCAAGTATATATATATAAAAAAAAACTAAAATCTTACAACTAGTAAAAGAAAGACTGAATTGAATTTGATTGATTAATTGAACACACTAAAAATTTCTCCTTCTCCACATATTTGTTCAAGAAATTTTTAAAAGACCACCTTTTAGAATCTTCTATATAGCATTTCCTAAGAAGTAAACATTGTCACCTCACCATATTTATCGCGTTATTGATAGGTTCCTAGAAAGCTGTGTGGTGTGAAATAAAGACTTGTCTTTAAATCTTTAAACAAGCCATTAACTACTTTAACAAACAGTTTTTTAAATTTTTAACCAGGTGTCAAAGCAAACACAATGCATGTAGAAGTTTGAATAATAACTAGGTACATACAATTTTTAAATTGCAGTCTATGAAAAGCATTGGAGTTTTGTCAATTGCACAGATTTTGTCGCAAGGTAAATTCTGTCACAGGCAAAATAATCGATCCACACAAATTTTCGATGAATTTCAATCGCAAATAACTTTTTTATTTGATGTCGGATTTAAACGAATATTGAAGAATATTGTAGATAAATTAATGGACAATAGCTCATATTTTAAAAAATTACCAAAAAATAGAAGAACGTTTATAATATAAAGGTTTAAACAAAAATATGTATTTAACCATAAGTTTAAGACACTCTGTAGAGTGGCAAAAGCGTATATTGTTCTAAATTAAGTTTAAATTATCAAGTCAAATCTATTTTTAACAGTTTTGTTTTTGTTTCACCTCGATATATTTATTTTTGTGGAAAATATGGATTTTTTAAAAAAACATTGCAATTTCCAATATTTTTTCTGTATGAAGAACAAAGGTTGCTATGGCCCATCCATAGGCTATGGAGGATGACAGTGACAGTTTTGTTGAATCATCCCATACTTGGACATGTCATACACGGCTTTCAAAAGCTATCAAATTGTTTTTTGTAAATTAATGTTTAAATTTTGAGGTGTCTTCTTACTATAAAAAATGAATATGTCTCCGACTGATGTTGCCAGAGCCATTAATTTAATCCAGGATGGACGGTCACAGTATTACGTGGCAAGTGTTTTAAACGTCACAAGAAGTAAAGTACAAAGTCGGAGACATTTTTAAAAGTAAGAAGACACCTCAAAATTAACACATTCATTTACAAAAAACAATTTGATAGTTTTTGAAAGCTGTATATGACATGTCCAAGTATGGGATTATTCAACAAAACTGTCACTGTCATCCTTCATAGGCTATGGATGGACCATAGCAACCTTATTTCTTTATACAGGAAAAATATTGGAAATTGCAATGTTTTTTTTTTATCCATATTTTCCACAAAAATAAATATATCAAGGTGAACCAAAAACAAAACTGTTAAAAATAGATGTGACTTGATAATTAAAACTTAATTTAGAACAATATACGGTTTTGCCACTCTACAGAGTCTCTTAAACGTATGGTAAAAAACATCTTTTGTTTAAACCTGTATATTATAAACGTACGTGTATTTTTTAGTAATTTTTAAAATGTAAGCGATTCTCCATTAATGTATCTACAATATTCTTTAATATTCGTTTAAATCCGACATCAAATAAAAAAGTTATTTGCGATTGAAATTCATCGAAAATTTGTGTGGATCGATTATTTTGCCTGTGAGTTCCTCAAAAGTTTGTTACCTATTTGCTAATTAGACACAAAAGGGATGGTTTAAGTTTTATTTGTCGAAGTAATTTCTAGTAGAGCGGCAGCAGAATAACCGAAAAAAATCAACAGAACGTCTTAACATTCAATGTTTATATAGAAGTTGACACCACTTTGTCACATTGCTGAAGAAACCGTTTGGTTTTTTAAACACCTGTGTGGACGGTGCGTTAATTTTTTGTGTGTACATTTTTCGGATTTTACAACTTGTATGTGTGTAACTTCGTATTAGATTCTACAGGGTGGTCTTACATTTTTTGATATCTGTTTTAATTGCAAAATTGCGTAGTATCCACTATTAAGTTTCCTACATAAATCAGCATATAGGATCATATTATTTTAGGATAAATGCGTAGGAAGATCATTTATAAAAAGAAAAAATATTAGTGGACCTAGTACCGACCCTTGGGGCACTCCAAGGTTGATGTTATGGATGTTTGATGATACGTTTTCTATTTTTGTATATACTTTTCTGGATGTCAAGTATGATTCAATGAGAGAAGCTAACTGACCTCTAAAGCCATGTGAGAACATTCTCATTGGGAAAAATTTCTGCTTATTTGGAAAGAAGAGAGTTTTTCAAAAATTCCAAATACGTTTGTCCGATTTTCCACCATTCCTGCCCAGGCATTCACTTTTTGCCGGTTTTTGGAATTTGCTTCTACTACCCAATGAGGATTTTCTCTGCTCCAAGACCTAAATTGCAAACTTCTTGTTGTGTTCTGGTTTTATTGCATCTATGAGAATTAAAACTTCAATTCTACCGTAGATCACATTGTTATGCATTATTAAGTGGCTTGTACGTTAGGCTTGACAGAGACCAACAGTCTCAAAACAGAGTTTTTTCATTATTTCTTAAACTATAATAGTTATTTGTTTTACAAGTGTTGACTAACAGTGAAACAACCAAAAATAAAAAATAATCATTTTCACTTGGGGGACATCTCAATATATTCACCCATATATATATATTTTCAAATCGTATCAACTTACCTATATAAAATTTATATTTTAAAATATACAAATTGTAGTAAATTTTACTTATATAAGTTGCTCACGAGGCCGAAAGGCCGAGTGTGCATTAACACGAGCTTGAAGAAAGCTTTTCTCACAATTTTTAAATACAAAACAAAATAACCTAAAAACTTTTTTGACAGCTGAATGTCAAACGATGCTTTCCGGTTCTTTTCACACAGACCTGTCACTTTTCACACAGAAATGTCACTTTACATTTGTGTTTTGCCTTGCCAATGAAAAGATTCATTTTCTAAGCAACGATGCCATCATGAAAAGTGACTTTTACATAGTGGTCGTAGAAAATAGTTATTTGTTTTACAAGTGTTGAAAAGCGACTTTTTCATGCGAGTTTTTAAGTTGCTCACGAGGCCGATAGGCCGAGTGTGCATTAACACGAGCTTGAAGAAAGCTTTTCTCACAAGTATAACACAATGTTTTTTCTGCGACCCTTTTATTTTTTATTATTTTTAAATATAAAACAAAATAACCTAAAAACTTTTTTGACAGCTGAATGTCAAACGATGCTGTCAATTTCTTTTCACATAGACCTGTCACTTTTCACACAGAAATGTCACTTTACATTCGTGTTTTGCCTTGCCAATGAAAAGATTCCTTTTCTAAGCAACGATGCCATCATGAAAAGTAAAAAATCATTAATAGAACCTCTTGTATCACTTATTCTTGTTCTAGCTCCAAAACCTTCGAGTCGACGCTCGCGCAAACCAGGTTTGGACCGCAAACCTCGCCAGGCTTACAGCGCCAAACAGCTGGAACGCCTGGAAACCGAATTTAAAGTGGACAAATACCTGAGCGTCAGCAAAAGACTGGAACTATCAAAGGCTTTAGGCCTTACGGAAGTGCAAATAAAAACCTGGTTCCAAAACAGACGCACCAAGTGGAAAAAACAACTGACGACGCGGTTAAAAATGGCGCAACGGCAAGGCTTGTTCCCGCCACATTATTTTTCGCCTGGAAACTCGGCGCAGTATTCTGCATTGTTGGCGCCCTACTACACGCCACTGACTTGCGTGTTCGGCGTCCCGAACATAGAGGACGCCACTGTGCCAGTTTCAATGAACAACACTGTTTAAGGGGTATAAATAATAAACAATCGAAGGTCCATTTTTAAGTAAACTTCCTTAGCAGAAGTAAAAATTCTATTTCATCCTGTGTTATAATCATATTTTCATCGTATGCAATAAGAAATGCACAGGTGTTTTGCGAGTTGCCTACCATAATATACGAATGATATTTGCCTTTGTTTTTTATGTTTTTTATCAGGAATTATTTTATGTGCTTATGGTTTTTAACCTTGTTTCTACATCTAAATGGTGCATTTCAATATTTTGTAATAACATTTTTATTTAAAATCGTATCGATTTAAAATTAAGATAAAATGTAGACCTTATTAATGGCAATAAATCTACGTATTATTTTTTTTAGATTTAAAAAGGGTTAAAAAATCAAAGAAGCAACGTTGTTTTATAATTTTGAGTATATCAAGTTCTGATAAATTACTATTATTTGATATATAAACTTCTACATGTAAATTATGTTTCTACGAGATACATCATTTTTAAGTTAGGCCTTCAAAGGGCATAATACTAACGTGTTTTACAAAGTATATATTCTTTTATCTAGTTTTATAAGATAATGTTTTATATATTACATATTATACATTATATATTACATATAATATATTATATGTAACATACAATTCTTACATATTTATTTTAAAAAATCGCCATAGATGGAGCTAAAATTACTTTTATTTATAAATTTAAAATGATTTCAAGTTTACTAATTTTGATCATAGTAAGCATCATTTTCATTTTCTCTATGGTAACCTACCATTGGAAGCAGGGCCGAGCCTAGGGTATCTGCCGCCCGGGTGCAAGAATTAAATTTGCCGCCCCCATTAATGTAAAAAATTAGGTTGTCGGTAGGGAAGGAGTTCATAATTTATCATTCTCAATAAACATATAACAAATTTTATAGTAAAATAACAAAGTATTTATTAACAAATACATAAAAGAATAAAATAAAAATACATTCAGGAAAAAAAAACAAAAATAATTAAACTAAACTAAAAAACTAAAATCTACTTTTAACAGCAAATTCCCTAATCAAGTCGCCTACATCCAAGTTGTTAGAAATATCTTCTTCAATACTTATAATTGCTAAATTTGAAAGCCTGAATTGACTCATATTGGATCTTAAATAGGTCTTAATTAGTTTTAATTTCGAAAATGACCGCTCTCCATGGGCAACAGTAACTGGCATCGTCAAAAATATTCTTAAAGCTACAAATAAATTCGGAAAGATGCCTTTTAAATCATTAACTAGTTTTTAACTTAAACGCATTTAAAGACAAAAGAAACTACTATGTTTGCATCCTATTTGCCTCACTTTAATAGAAAAATTGCTGAAATACGCAGCCGTCAAATCGGAAGAAATTATGCTTTAACTTAACAGTTCAGCTTGTAAACAATATCACGTGGTACACAGCGCGCGATTTGATTGGTTTCCCGTAAGCCCGCTTCCGTAAAACATGAAACTTGACGAACTCGAAGCGGACTGACGAAAAGCGAACCGGCCGGCGGCAATCTATAAAACGGGCTTTAAGAAAATTGTCATAATCATTTTTTGTGGCAATCGCGCGTTCGTTTATGTCTTTTTTATCATTGCCGCCTGACAGCACAATTTTGGCATTGTTTTTATGTGTAGAATAAATACGATGATTCCTTGAAACGCCGACATCAATAAAACGCAAGTGATTTTTAGAAAGTTTTTTGCATATTGCAAGGTGGCTTTTTTATTCTTGATAATATGATACAATTTTTTTGATGATATTTTGCCGCCCTGTGTTAGTGCCGCCCGGGTGCCATGCACCCCTTGCACCCCCGGCACGGCTCGGCCCTGATTGGAAGCATGAAAGATAATATGACAGTTCAGTTTATAAGTTGCAAATGACTGATTGCGTTTCAATTTATAAGTGTATATATAAACTCAAAACATTAATTTATTAAAATGAATAAACCAAATAATAATTATAGACAGTGTCAGCAAGTTAGAAATTATTTTTTGTAATTAGTTATTTTGCATTTTTTATATTTAATATAATGCTATACAGGGTGTTTCTGGGGAAACGCAAACGATATGGATTTGAAATTTTAATAGCGTATACAATTTGATTTGGGCTATACCTAAAGTCAATAGTTTTCAAGATATTAATTTTTTTCGTTAAAATTTTGCTTAATGCACGTTAATAAAAAATAGCCTCTAGTTTTTTGTTATTAGGTTTGCTGACATGTGGTTGGAATTTTTGGAATATTAAAACATTGTTCAAATAATTTAATTTTTAAAGGTTTTTCAAGTAATACCTTGAGAAAAACCACTTGAAATTAGGCAAACTTCAAACAATATTAACGTTTTTATTATAAATGTAAAACTCTGTATGTTTTAACATAATCAAATAGAAAATTAAGGAATCTTTCGATTGGTATTATAATAACTGTTTCATAAAGTTAAAATTTCAGAGACATTTAACAATTTTTAATATTTTCAATACTATTTTGTATCAACAAACCTGCGAAATTCTACATGTGGGTTACTGTGACAGTATCCATGGTTACCACCAAATCTGTCATTGTTTAAAATTAATTAAAATATTTGATAAAAAATTAATAACTCGAAAAATATTGACTTTTGGTATAGGATATGGTATAGCCATTTTACAAAAATATAAAAGTATATGAGTTGTCTTCTTTAAAATAACAAAGTTAAAGACATTTCCGATAAAACAGGAAGTATTATTTTGTTCAAAATAATTTAGGAAAAAAGTCTAAATCGAATAATTTACGCTATTAAAATTTTAAATCGATGTCTTTCGCGATTCCCTAGAAACTTCTAACGGACTACGTACGTGAAACACCCTGTATATTAACCGTCATTTATGTGTTATGCTATACTTAATTATTAATAAAAGATACAACAATATTTGTATAAAAATGACAAAATGTACTAAACTAAACATTTATGAATACTGCTACTGCTAATTCAAAACTGATCCTGGCCACAGAAACATCATTTGCATAAAAAAGTTGATATATCAAATAATAGTCAAATAGCAATACTTTAACGTATTATACTCAAATTTATAAACTAAGTTGCTTCTTCGATTATTTACCCTTTAAAAATTGTTAAATTTTAAATTAAATTATCACCAGCGCCCCCTGTACGTTAAAATCTAAACAAAAATTTTTCATGGATTAATTGTCATTAGTAAGATCTACATTTTGTCCAAATTTCAAATCGATACGTTTTGAAATAAAACAGTTATTTAAATAAAATGTTTCTTTATTTTTAACATAGTGAAGAAAAAAATAAAAATAAACAAAGTTGTCAATGGACGAGATTTGTTTTTTTGATTTCGATCCTTTCGCGAAACAGTAGTTAACACATAAAAATAATTCCTGAAAAAAAATAAAACGCCTCATATGTATTGTAAATAAAACAAACTGTATTCTTGTAAATAATATATTTATGTGTTTTCTCGACCATTTTTTAACGTTTTAAGTCGAGAAAATATTGAAAAAAAATACAACCTAGTTGTGCGTTCATTTTCAAAATTTGTCCTATATTTTTTTGTACATATTCACTACATACATGTATATAATTAAGTAAAATAAATATCAATAAATAATGAGCTATAAACTCTTTTCTTTAAAGTAGGTTTGAACCTCAAAAACTAGAGATCCTTGGCGAAAAAAAATAGTGAAAATACTAAAAATAAACATTTTTGAGTATTTAAGTACTCTTATGGCCGTGTGCACCAAAATATCGTTTAAAAATAAAAAAAAATTTAAATTTTTTTAATTATAAATAATAAAATATCAAAAAGTACACTTTAGGTAGAAAATTTGTGCAAACGGCCATAACTTTTTTAACTATTTTTATACACAAGTTTTTACAACTTAACTACTAGTTAATACTAAAAATATGCATTCTAATCAAATTATCACAAGATATGTACCGTGCACCACAAAGATTTTGAGCCGCTTAATATTTTATATCAAAAATATATGGCGCATTAATTAAAAATATATAGTTTGGTCAAATCCTTATATACACGGCAATTCACTACCTACACTAATTTTATATGATGAAATACTTTTTACTCTATTCTAGAGCTCCGTGGCCCGTGTTAGGCAACATAAAGCACAGCAATCCACTCCCTTAAAAAAATAAGAAATATATAAGTTACATTCATTTTTATTTAAATTATGTTTAAAAAATTACTTTTTCGATTTTTTTGCTTTTATTTAATAAAGTTTAATAAAAATAATTATATGTTTTATTTACTGAAAAAAATCACAATTGAAAATATTATTTATATTTATTATAAATATACTATCTTTAAATTCAAACTTTTCAATTATTTTTAATTTTGATTTTGAGATTTTTTTTATTTTAATATAATTTTTTTGTAATAAAGTTAAAACATTCTTTTTCACTATTTTTAATGGTATTTACAGTTTTAATTTAAAAATTTTCCCACATTTTTTGTTTGTTTTTGAAGTAAATAAAAATTAATTTATTCTTTCTAAAAATTATTGAATTATTGAATTTTTTTTTTATTTGGATATTTTAGTGATTTGTTTAAAATTTTAATTTTTTATATTTTTTTTATATACTAAAAAATCTTAATTTTAAGTTTGACTATATTTTTATTAGTACACTGAAAGAAATATATGTTTGTTATAGCAATGTATGTAGTAGTCCATATATGAAACATAAAATATATTTACCTTAACCATTTTTATATTTAGTTTAACCATATTATGTTAAAACTAAATATAAAAATGGTTAAGGTAAATATATTTTATGTTTCATATATGGACTACCATATACATAGCTAAAATAAACATATATTTCTTTCAGTGTAGGTATTCACAGTTGTAAACAATGTTCCCATATTAATTATTATTAATGGTCAAAATTCACCCCCCTGTGATGTGACGAATCAAAATCCCCTAACCTCTAAAAATATTTTTACGATTCTTTTTTGTAATTGTCTCAAAATGGAACAAATAAGGAACTTTAATCAATGTTCTAATTTTTTAGTGAACTTTATAATTTTTTAAAAATTTTAATTTGAGATTTTTGACTTTGTAATATTTATATTATTTATCACAATTTTTTTTTATTCACAGTTTTAAACTATTTTTTTTTTTTAATTTTTTTCATCTTTTATTTCTGAAGTTATAAATAAAAATTAAGTAATTAGTTTCAATTTTTTTGAAAGTTTTTCAATTTCCAAAATGAATAAAATCTATAGGTTATTTTATATTTTTTATTATTATTTTATTTATTGTTAACAAAATCGCAATTTAAAATTTTATACCAATTATTTTTATTAGTGAATTTTCTAGTTTTTTTAAATTTTTATCTTGAGATTTTTTGACCTTTTTAAACAATTTATTTCCTTTAATTTTTTTTATCTTTTATTTCTGTTATAAAGTTATAAATAAATAAAAATTAAGTTATTACTTAGTTCTAAATTTGTATAAATATTTTTAGAATTTTTGGTATTCTAAAAATTTCCGAAATTTAAAAAATGGCTTATTTTATATTTTTTATTATTATTTTATTTATTGTTAAAAAATTGCAATGGAGATATTTATTATACATATTATTATTATAGTTAAATTCGCAGTTTTAAACAATTTTCTCAAAATTTTCTGTTTTTTTTTTGTTTTTCTTATAAATTTTTGTTTAATTTTTTTATTTCTAAAGTTAATAAAAATTAAGTAATCAGTTATGAAAATTCTTATATGTTTGAATATTTTTAAAAGTTTACAATTTCGGAATTCTGAAAATTTCCAAAATTTTCAAAATAAAAGGTTATTTTATATTTTTCATTATTATTATTATACTGATAAAAATATTTTTTTTTTCAATAAATACCCATTTACTTTTTAAATTTTCTGAATTTTTCCCATATTTTCTGATTTTTTTGTTTGTTTTTTTTCTTTTTTTATTTCTTTAGTTATAAATAAAAATTAAGTAATTTGTTATGAAAATTATAAAATTTTTAAAAGTAGGGTATTATTTTATATTCTTTATTTTGATTTTTGATGATTTTCTGATTTTTTTAACTTGATTTTTAAGTGGATTTTCCATTTTTTTTATTTTGATTTTGAGATTTTTTACTTTTTTATAACTTTTTTGTAATATTTAAATTTTATAATTTTTAGTATTCAGTTTTAAACAATTTTCCCATATTTTCTGATTTTTTTTTGTTTGTTTTTTTTTCTTTTTTTATTTCTGAAGTTATAAATAAAAATTAAGTAATTTGTTATGAAAATTCTTAAATTTTTTAATATTTTTAAAAAAATTAAAATTTTGAATTCTAAAACTTTTAAAAGTAGGGTATTTTATATTTTTTTAGTTATTGTTAAAAAATAGCATCTTCAAATAATTTTTTTTTAATTTTGTGGATTCTTTATTTTGATTTTTGATGATTTTTTTTAAATTTGAATTTTGAGAATATATTTTCTGTTTTTTTTAAATTATTATTTCTGAACAAATAAATATTTTTAAAATGTGATTTTTTTATTTTGATTTTTTATTAATTTTGATTTTGAGATTTTTTAACTTTTTTATAATTTTTTTGTAATATTTTATATGTATATTTTTTATTTTTTTTTTTTTTTATGAATTTTTGTTTATTTTTTTTATTTTTGAAGTTAATAAAAATTCAATAATCTTAAATTCTTAAATCTTTTTATATTTTTAAAATTTTCCAATTTCTGAATTCTGAAAATTTCCAAAATTTTCAAAATAAAATTTATATATTTTTCATTATTATTATTATAATGATAAAAAATCGCTATTATTATACATTTCAATAACTATTTACTTTTTAAATTTTTAGATTTTTTAAATTTTGATTTTTAAGAGGATTTTTCATTTTTTTTTATTTTGATTTTGAGATTTTTTTCCTTTTTTATATTTTATTTGGAATATTTATACTTATAGTATTAAATTAAATTAAATTTTTTAATATTTTTAAAAAAATTAAAATTTTGAATTCTAAAACTTTTAAAAGTAGGGTATTTTATATTTTTTTAGTTATTGTTAAAAAATAGCATCTTCAAATAATTTTTTTTTAATTTTGTGGATTCTTTATTTTGATTTTTGATGAATTTTTATAAATTTGAATTTTGAGAATAAATTCATTTAATAATATCATTTTTTTGTAATATAGTAAATATTCTTTTAACAATTTTTTTTTAAGTTTTAAACAATTTTCCCATATTTTTGAAGTTAATAAAAAACAATTAGTTATGAAAACTCTGAAATTGTTGAATATTTTTAAAAAATTCCATATTCGGAATTCTGAAAATTTCCGAAACTTGAAAATTTTAAATTTTCCAAAATTTAAAATGAGTTATTTTTGTCACTAAAATACATACCCAATAACATGGAAGCGAATATAACAATCGGCACCACACAATTCAAATCTATCAAAAACCCAAACAGCAGATTACCTAGTAAGGCACCTCCCCTACCAAACGTAGAAGAAAGAGCTGCCGCCATCACCCTACAAAAAAATTGTAAAAAAATATTTCTTTCCCAAAAAAAAAGTAGGGTGTACACACCTTAAATTAGTCGGGAACAAGTCCACCATCACACAGTAAACCGTACTGATACCCAAACTGGTGAGGGCTTCAAAAATACACGATAAAACCAAGTTGGTAATCGTCGAGTTCACGAAGTACAAACCAAAAGTGACGGCACTGGCGACCAGCAAGCTGAAAACCAAGAAGAACTTGGTGCCCAGCCTTCGAACGCACAGGGGTAACCAAAAACTCGTAGGAATGCACGCCAATCCAATGATCAGAGTGTGCAAAAACACTGAATCAGATAATGGCTCTCCGCAAAAAGGGTTTTCTGTTATGTTCAAAGTCGTGTTTTTAGGTACCACCACAGAAGACACTTCGCAAACAGTTGCTTTTTCATCAGGGTACATACTTTCGAATTCCTCAAAACGGTAAAATAACTCCGGAAACCAAATCATAAGCGTATAGTAGCTGAAATAATAATTATAATTTCAACTTAGTTTGGTCCTTCAAGATAAGAAAGTGTTCCCTCAATCATTTTTGCATTAGTGCATTGATCTATTACTGTCAACCAATAATGCCTTTTTAGGGCAACTTGCCCCTAAGAAAGCTTTATGAAGGTTTATCAGATGCCTATTGGTTTTAATAGTGCTCGGAAAGTTGCCTTTAATGCATCTGTTAAAGCCTACTCATAGGAGCATTTGGTCTTAGGACTACTTTTTCTCTATGTAAGAATATTCTATGGTACAGAACAAAACAGTAAAAAGGTTTTATGATTGTTCTAGTAGAGCAGCAATACTTCTTTAATATAACCAATTTGCTTTCCAATTTGCAAATTTGCATGAGTGTAAACCATTTTGTTGCTATTATTTCTTTATTAAAATATTTTTGTCTTCATAATCGCGAAGAAAATAACTCTTGTCAACATAATACTCATTGTATTCCTTCAACGTCTTGTTCCAACCAAGAGCTAAATCCGCATCATTCTATCACAACAATTAAGACAATTTTTAGGTGTTATCATCTGACAAAGCATTATAGCCTGATGGCGATACTTTTGATGAGAATACTGCAAAGTTGTTTTTAAATGCTCGCACAAAATTTCAATTGGTTTTATGATTGCCTTGAATAATGGCCTATGCTTGTGATTCATAAGGCACCAATATACCAAACCAGTATTTGATTAAAGCAATATGGAATTTACAAAGTACAACAATAAAGTAAAAAGGTATATCAATATAAATTGTCAGCTAAAATGGGTTTACGACAAAAGCACACTACCTCCTTAAAACCTATTGCACTTAGCAGGTTCCATGACAGCTGTAAAGTAGGTTTTGTGGCTGCTGTAAGGTGTGCCTTAGGAGCAATACAATAAAGCAAAGTTGTTTTTGTCGTAAACACATTTAAGCTGACAATTTGTACTTATTGATATACCTTTTTACTTTATTGTTGTACTTTGTAAATACCATATTGGTTTTATCAAATACATGTTTGGTATATTGTTGCTTTATGGAACACTAAGCTGTTCCACAAGCATAGGCCATTATTGATTTTAAAAACTTAATAAGAAAATTATTATCTTTTGTCAACCAATAACTTTCGGATGCAAAAATCATAAACAAATACCACTTTACTGATAAAAGTTGATTGCCGAGACACAAAACGTATGATGCCCACTGAAATACGCTTAGTTTAAACAATTTTAAAGGCTTTCGCTAAATTACTTACCCGATCTACATTCCGTTTTATTAAGCCATCTCTTTTTGAAAAAATATTCTCTAACATTAACACCGCTCGTAAAAATCAACTTTTTTGAAATTTTCTGAAAAATATTATCTATTTGTATTTTAGATTAAAATTATTTCATTATGGCGGAGCAATATTTTCTAATTTAAATGGCGGTTTCAGTTATAAAACAATGTACTCTTGCAAACAACTGCTAAAAAGTTTAATAGCTTTAAAAAGTGTTTACAACTGTTTGTGACTGCAATTTTTAAGGCAATCATAAAACCAATTGGCATTTTGTGCGAGCATTTTAAAACAACTTTGCAGTATTTTCATCAAAAGTATCGCCATCAGGGCTATACTGCTTTGTCAGATGATAACATAACCTATAAATTGTCAAATGTTTTTTATTGTTTTCGAAGGTTCGCCATCTTCCGAAGTTTCGCCGTCTTCTACCGCATTAATTGCTGTGATAGAATGATGCGGATTTAGCTCTTGGTCGGAACAGGACGTTGAAGGAATACAATGAGTATTCCTTCAACGATGTTTTGCCAACAACACAGAAGAACAACTTTTAACAGCTCTTACAGTGGCCAACTTTGTTTTTCTATAAAAATTTCCACTTTTTTTTAACTTTTAACCACTGCACTAAAAAACTCCTCATGCATGGTGGGGACATGTTGACAAGAGTTATTTTCTTCGCGATTATCAAGACAGAAACGTTTTAAGAAAGAAATAATAGCAACAAAATGGTTTACACTCATGCAAATTTGCAAATTGGAAAGCAAATTGGTTATATTAAAGACGTATTGCTGCACTACTAGGAACAATCATAAAACCTTTTTACTGTCTGGTTCTGTAACATTCTTACATAAAAGAAAAGTAGTCCTAGACCAAATGCTCCTATGAGTCGGCTTTCAGATGCATTAAAGCCAACTTTCCGAGCACCATTAAAACCAATAGGCATCTGATAAACATTCATAAAGCTTATTGGACTATAGGCGTTTCTTAGGGCCAAGTTGCCCTAAAAAAGCATTATTGGTTAACAGTAATAAATCAATGTTAAGATCAAATGGTTAAAATTGCAAAAAGGTTTTAATACTTTACTTTAAAGTCGATCATAAAGCCTAATCATAAAGCTTCATTATCTCAAGATCAACTAGCACAAAGTAGAGCTGCAATAAAACAAATAGTACGTTTTCATGCATTTATAAAGCTTGCATAAAACAGTAAAGCATTATCGGTGGCAACCCTTTGCTACTTGGGTGTTAAAGCAAATAAGTTTTTACTAAGGAGTAGTTATATATATTATAAAATAATAGAGGAAAAATTTTTTTTGTTTTCTTGTGTACTATCGTTCCTCCCAAAGGATGACAGAAGTTTGCTTGAAATAAGACTTTTCTTACCTTGAAGTCAATCCAAACTGTATCAAACAGGTAATAATGGTGTACCTCAGATGTGGAGGCTTGCAGAGAGCTTTAGTTTGCTCCCAAATTTCTGCAAGCAACATTTTTAGCTCCTTTGGTTTTCTGATCCTCAAGCTCCTAATACTTCTGGTGGATTGTTGGGAAACCACGCTCATGGCTCGAACTTTTTCCCTCAAGCTTGTTACGGGGAAATCGATGGGATTTTCTCCTGTGTTACAAGCGTACATTTCCCTTAGGACTTCAAGGGCTTCATCGGCTTCCCCGCATTCCAACAAAAACTTTGGACTTTCGGGGAAGAAGAACAACCAACCACCAATAAAAAGACTTGGTACTGAGCATGTCGCTACGAATAAATTCCAACTCGCAAACTTAAAATTATCTGTCACATACTCGAATTCCATTGGAATTATGATCCAGGCGATTCCTAAAAGTGGTATGAGGTTTATCATGATTGATTACCCTGATAGCACAGTTTATTCTAAGAATGTTTTTTAAACCTTCCAGTGGGAATATTCTTAGGATCATGCTATATTTCTTCTAGTCATGTTCTAAGAATGTTTTTTAAACCTTCCAGTGAGAATATTCTTAGGATCATGCTATATTTCATCTAGTCATGTTCTAAGAATGATTTTTAAACCTTCCAGTGAGAATATTCTTAGGATCATGCTATATTTCTTCTAAAGAACATGGTTAAAAGAAATATAGCATAATCCTAAGAATATTCTTATTGGCCTATAGGCAGGTTCTTAGAAGGTGCAAAGTTAATTTAGGAATATTCCTGGAACATTCTGTTAAACATATTCAGTTCAGTTAGGTACCTATATAATAGTAAAATATACCATAATCTACGTATAAATGTACCTATACTTAGTATTAAATACTAAGTAAAAAACCCAACCCAAAATATTTTTTTATAGTTATTTGTCAACTTAAAACAATATTCGATAACAAAAATACTTTTACTAGGTATCTAAATTATCCGGCTTTTACATAAAATCTTCTATCCAACTTAAATACAATGAAAAATGTTTTTTTTTATGAAGAACTTTTTGGTTTTTTCTTTTAGGAAATATTTTGTTTTTTTATATTTTATTTTATGTTAAAAATAAATATTTATTAATATGTATACCGATTTTTTATTTCTGAATTAACATTTTGATGTAAGTATAATAATCCTAACTATCTTCAACTTCAATCTAATCTGACTTATCCCACAAAATTTTCCAATTTTACTTTTTATGAAATAATGTCATACAACTTATGGTTTAGAGGTCAAATTGTTTATTTAATGTTTTTAAATAAATATATATTAATATGTCGCAAAAATTTTTTAAGGGGACGACAAATACATTTCACTGTCATATTATGACAGTGAGGCGTATTTGTCGCCTCCTGAAGAATTTTACGAATGTAGAATCCAACATATTAGAACATGGGTATCTGACATATTTGGAAATATTCTCAAAAGCTTCCTAGAAGCTCCATAAAAAACCTTCTAAGAACATTCCAAACACGTATTCTTAAAATGTTCTTAGGATGCTTTTTAGGAAGGTTTTAAGAAGCTTTTAAGAATCTAATTGCATCATTAAAAGGGTATCTATTGAATGTTTTAAAAGCTAAGAAGAACATTCTTAGCAATAAGGGAAGGTTCTAAGAATATTCCATTATTCCGGGTCATATCTTCTTAGAAGATTCTTAGAATCAAATTTTGCTATCAGGGATTGACTAGGATGATGAGAAAAGAATGACTTCAGTTGATGAGTAGCAAATTTTAAAATTACCTGGTAATACTATCACTCCCATAGTCCAAAAAAGCTCCATCCAACACAATATAGTTTCCCTGTACTTTCCAGGTTGAAATTCTCCCAAATATGGGAAACAAATACCCATAGCTCCAGTGATTCTAAAATGTACAGAACATTATTATTTTGTATTTTTTTTAGTTTTAACTTTTTATTTCAAAATTATTATTGGTGACGAAACACACATAAAAAAAGCAATCCTTATATATATATATATATTATATTCGAAGAACGAAGTAATGCGAATAGGCAAAATAATCGATCAACATAAATTTTCTATGAATTTCAATAACTTTTTTATTTGATTTCGGATTTAAACAAATATTAAAGAATATTGTAGAGACATTAATGGAGAATCGCTCACATTTTAAAAATTACTAAAAAATACACGTACGTTTATAATATACAGGTTTAAACAAAAAGATGTTTTTTACCATAAGTTAAGACACTCTTTAGAATGGCAAAACCGTATATTGTTCCAAATTAAGTTTTAATTATCAAGTCACATCTATTAATGGAGAATCGCTTACATTTTAAAAATTACTAAAAAATACACGTACGTTTATAATATACAGGTTTAAACAAAAAGATGTTTTTTACCATAAGTTAAGACACTCTGTAGAATGGCAAAACCGTATATTGTTCCAAATTAAGTTTTAATTATCAAGTCACATCTATTTTTAACAGTTTTGTTTTTGGTTCACCTTGATATATTTATTTTTGTGAAAAATGGAATGATTCAACAAAACTGTCACTGTCATTCTGCATAGCCTATGGATGGACCATAGCAACCTTAGTTATTCATACAGAAAAATATTGGAAATTGCAATGTTTTTTTAAATCCATATTTTCCACAAAAATAAATATATCGAGGTGAACCAAAAACAAAACTGTTAAGAATAGATGTGACTTGATAAATAAAACAGTTTAGAACAAAATACGGTTTTGCCACTCTACAGAGTGTCTTAAACTTAGGGTAAAAAACATCTTTTTGTTTAAACCTGTATATTATAAACGTACGTCTATTTTTTAGTAATTTTTTAAAATGTGAGCGATTGTCCATTAATTTATCTACAATATTCTTTAATATTCGTTTAAATCCGACATCAAATAAAAAAGTTATTTGCGATTGAAATTCATCGAAAATTTTTGTGGATCAATTATTTTGCCTGTGAGTGTATAATAACATATATTATCATAGTATAATTAATTCATATTAATTTTTTTAATTAATTTTAATTAACATGCATGAGCTATTTTTTAGAATAATTTTAGCAAAGCATTTTTAAGTAGACAAATATGGATGATAAAAAATGGTTGCCTTTAAGGGCAGTTTCTCCTGCATTAGAAATTAATAAAACCTATTTTTATTTATTAAAACTGAAAAAGTATGTTATAAAACCAATAGGCAGTTAACAAGGTAATCACTAGAGTGTTTATTTCAATGTAAAGCAACAACCTCATGAGAATATAGGTTATAATTATAATCTATAATAGGCCTTAAGGGTCTCTTAAGTTAATATGGTTTTATAAGGGTATAATGTATAAGGTATAATGACATCCCATAATAAAGCAAAGTTAAAACTTACAAGTGTAATAGGGTTATGGTTTTAAAAGTAGGTTTTGTTGTGGAATAAAGCGTTTTATTAAAGTAATATGGTTCTGAGTGTGATTGTTTCTTACTTGGGACCCTAATGTTAAAAAATATAATTTTATGCAATAATTTTTCGTCCAACTTACGCAAATCCATTGAGAAGCCTCAGCAGCATGAAAAGCCAATAGGCTTGAGATATGCTGGATAAAAGGCCACATATTCCGTCCATCAATAAGGCACCTATTAATACTGTTCTACGTCCTTTGGTGTCGGCTAGACAGCCCCAGAAATAGGAACCTAACAACATTCCTACAAAAAAAATTCTATATACAAATGTCAAATATACAAGAAGCCAATTAAATGGCTTGAGCGGGTTAGGGGTGGGAGCGGACCGCCGGCTTAAAGTCCCCTCCGAAGGAGTTATTTTTGAAATTTTGTTGACCTGTTTATAAGATCAATCACCTCTGAGATATAACTTATAAATTTATTTATTTCACAGTGCATTGGAAAAGTTTCAGCCGTGCGGTAAGTGAGTGAGTTACGTGTTCGGCGAGGTTGCTATCACTGATTAATTTAATTCAATTTTATGTTTCGTATTATTATCGTTTCCTTGAAAGTATGTTGTGCTGTCAATAGCAATGATTGTTTATTTATTTTGTAAAGCTAGGACGATTGATTTTTGAATTTGGAGTACAATGCCCAACAAAAAATGTATCACAATTTGTATAAAAGATTTCATAACTTTAAAGGTCAGGGGGGAATTTGTTTTTCTACTAGCGTGAGCAAAGTAACACTTATCCTTGGACAAAATCAAATTTAGTTAGTTACTTAGTTTCCATGTCAATAAGCGTCAAACAATTCGTCTACATTAATGTTGTCGCCTTGGAAATAGTCCCCATGGGATATTATGCACATGTGCCAGCTCTTCTTCCAATACTCGAAACACTTCTAAAACTCGATCTTTGGGATAGCCTTTAGTTCTTTCAGCGATGCGCTTTTAATGTCATCTAGGCTTGCAAAACGACGGCCTTTTAAGGTTCTCTTTATTTTTGGGAATAGGAAAAAGTCAGATAGAGGCATGTCTGGCGAATATGGAGGCTGGGGTATCATTACAGTATTGTTTTTGACCAAAAATTTTGTTCAAAATTTAACAATTTTGGAACAAATTTTTCTGCCACGCGTTTTATACCCAACACATTCGAAAAAATTTCATGGGATGAGCCAATCGATATACCAACATCATCAGCGACTTCTCTGATGGTTTATAACCATTTCTTCCACTTTTTCCATGTTTTTATCGGCTGTTAATGTGCTTGGGCGTTCGGGGCGTTCGTCATCTTCAACGTCTTCACGGCCATCTTGGAAACTCTTATACCACTTGTAAACTCTTGTTTTACTTATAGAAGACTCACTATAGGCCTTTGTTAACATTTCACAGAATTTATTTCATTTTTTAAGCAAAATGGGATACAAATTCTTTGATCCATTTCTTTTAACGAACGAAAAATCGCCGAGCTCATAAAACACGTCTAACCTTAGCGGCTGCCGCAGACAAAGTAAACGATGAAAACAGCTAAAGTTTTTATCATACTTCGGGGGCATGTATACCAACATAATAAAGAAAATTGTATGACAATCGGACCCTCCGAACCCGCGAAATTTATCAATTCCCGTTATTTTCTGAACACACCTCGTACTTTGTAAAGTAAGTACTCCATGTTAAAAAGTGGATTTGAGTCTATATTATATAAAAAAAGGAAAATGTGGGATACCGACCAAAAAAGTCCAAAATTAAAGAAGCACCAGATGAAATTTACCTTTTAATAATTTTCAAGTCACCGGTTGAATGAATTAATCTATAAAATATTAATAATTCCTTTGTTATAAACATTAATAAAAATTAATCAAACAATCATTTTCATCTAACTTTGCGCACGCTAGTAGAAAAAATATTGTTCCAAACACATGCGCAAAGTAATTTTTCCGCGTGCGGAAAAATGTAACTTTGCGCACTTGTTAGGAAAATAACTATTGTTTATTTTTTTATTTTTCTTGAATTTACTTACCTAACATGGGGGCGGCAGTGAGCCACCCTTTGTCCGAAGAAGACATCTGAAAATCGCATGTTGCCGAAGGCAAAACAAATGAAATAATCGTAATGCCAACTGCTGTGTTTAAGTAGATAAGACCGCATACTGTCAGTAAGGAAAAGTGAAACCTTCCAAAACCTAAAATAACAAAAAAAGTTATCAAGTTATGTAGAATAGATTGAGCATGAAATAGTTTATGTCATGACATGCATTAGGTTAAGAAGTAAGGCTTTTTGTGCTAAGCTCAAGGTTTGAAGGCCGACGCGTAGCGGAGGCCTACAATTGAGCGAAGCACAAAAAGGCACTTCTTGGCCGAATGGCATACAACATTTTATCTTTATATAGGTCAATTTATTTCAACATCAAAGCGGCCTAACCTCACTTTTTTAGAATCTCATTTATTTATTAGCTAAAGATTACATTAAATGTACAATAATTAATATTGCTTTTAGAAGCAGTAATAGTTTGACAATACCTAGCAACATGATTTAAGTAGAAATGGATTTTTGCTATATCATTGAATTCAATTAATTGTTTAATAAATAGGTAGGTATCTAATTTCAAATTGTTTGGATTTTTATTTAAAAAATAGGTAGTTTGGAATGTTTAAGCTGTGTTTAACATTTAATTTCACTGAAAACTTAAAGCAAATTAAAACATAAAGATAATTTAAATCGTAGAAAAAGAATCGTGCGTTTTCTTGGTTGCCTAACCTCACTTTTTGTTTTATTATTCATATTTAATTTTACAATAATTTAATGAAAAATATTAAACAAATTAGTGCTTATTATAAATAAATTAATCCAGTTTAGTACGTTAATTTCTTAGAAAAGGATTAATTTGTCAAAACAATACCCCTAGCGAGAAAAAATTGAACTAAAAACTTGCCTCATAAAAAATTTTATCGGCCTAGGCCATAACAAGGTATTGGTCGAATGTTGACAACAATAAAGTTTAAATTATAGACCGCGTGGAGATAAAATATAATTATTAAAAGTATTTGCAAGGTCAAAATTAATTAGAATTATTTTTTAATACTTAAATGTATATTTAGAACTCAAATATATATACAGGGTGAGTCATCTAACGTCGAGCAAATATTTAATATTGTTATTTTGAACTATAACTAAAATTTAAAAAAAAGTATTTTATTCAAAAAATTATTGGAGATTCGTATACAGAAGAAAAATCGAACAAAATTGATTTTTTTCATTACAGCGCCATCTATTACAAATATAAAAAAATGTTTTAAACAAAATTTACCTATTTTTAGTCGAATGATCCGAATCTGCAATAAAAAATGGAGTGCTCCATTGGAAATTTTTAAGTTACCCCCTGTTCCCCCTATAAGGAGGAGAGTATGAGGACCAATTTTAGTACTGATTGATTTCTCCCCTCGAATCATTTAATTTTTATTTTAAACATTTTTTCGTAAAATGCATACTAACTAAGATATTTCAAAGTTTCAAGTTAAATGACTTACCCTGTATATACCCCTCCCCTAAATATTGATGACATTTTTGGCGTTGGACGACTGCCCAATATCTGTCTTTCTTCAGTTTCATTTCTTCTTAAAAAGGCGTTTCAATTATTGAGAGAATAATGTCATGAACAGGATTTATTTAAAAATAAAACAGAAAAATTTAACTAAAGAAAACTTAATTGAATATTAATACGACAGGTTGCTTAATAAAAACTGCTAATTCTACCTGTGAAGCATTTTTCTAATCGAGAAAAAAACTATAAAAGATCTAAAAATGTCTAAAACCTATCCTCCGTGACTGTTACTCTTTCTAGGTTAACCTATATGTTTTCAAATATCTGAGGTAGTAAAAGCATACTAAAAATATCAGTTCACTAAGTAAATTAAACACATCCAAAGCAATCGAATCGAATATAAAATATTATTAAAAATTAAAAGAAATCATTTTTATAACCATTTATGCAGGTGTTACAAAAATTGATTATATCCTCCGTGAATCTGTTTTTGCTTTAAATTTTATGCAACGGATGGCGCTTTAATCATTTTAAATAAGCATAAACCTCTGTTTACGACATTATAGATGCATGTGATTCCTGAAGGTCAGAATTTATATGCAGATGAGAGTGTTGCTGTTTTATAATTCAAAAGTTTAAGTTCATTAATTTGCCATTTAAAAACCTATCCACCGTGAAGTGTAATATCTCAGTAAGTAGATTTTTTGTATAAATATTTTATGTATGTTCAATTGTATTTTTAAAAAATATTAAGGTGTCAAAAGATACAATAACTTATTTCAAATATAGAAAAATAAAAAATAATTTTATTAAAAAACCGAGTTGACCAATGTATTTTTCAAAATCGAATTGAATCAGCGAGTAATATGGTTTAGCTGAGTGGAATTCCTGCCGATTGTTGGTGTGTTTACCTTTGCAAGGTTGGCATTACCATTTTGATTTGGCACAAATTTTTCTCGGGTGGCTTTGCGCTTGCAAAGTCGCCGGCATGACTTGCACGCATGTGGGTCAAGTTTAAGACACGACACTACACAAGTGACGAAGTAGTTTTCATTATCACTAAGTCGCACAGTGTGACAAGTCAGTGTTTTAACGAACACAAGAATTTTTTTTTTTTTAATTGTATTTAATTACTGTTACAAAAAAACAACATTCCGCTACATATGATAATACATGCGAGCGAGCGTTTAATTTAACGAGTATCTACAAATACTTAATATTTTTATTATTTATTAAATTATTTTGCCTTAAATCTATTTTGGTTGTTCAGTATATTTTTGACGTTTTTGGTCAAAAATAAACAGGGACTCCATACAAAGTCATCGGTAGATAAATGTCAAATAGAAATTTTGTTTGTTCCATTTCAGCCGTATACTATAGTAGTATTTTATAAAGTATATTTAATAAAGCACTTTCCTGCAGAGAAGGGCTTTAATATATACCAAAACTAAAATTATAATGTTTTTTTGGTAAAAAGTATCATTTTTTGAAGTTTTTGTGTCGTTTTATTAATTACTAATTAAATTGAAAAGGCAACAAAGTAAATGGATTTCGGTATAAGCATTACTTTTCGACTATTATTTGATATGTTTTTATTCACATCATGCCTAAAGTACCCAAAAAGTCTTATCAAAATTTAATATCGAATTGAAGTATAAAGGCGCCTTTATGTACTTTCTCGTTCAAGCACACTAAAGTGCATCTATTAATTATTGACATTTAAAATTTAAACTTTAAATTGTATTTTTACTTAAAAGTAATTTTAAGAACCAAAAATGGAAGTGGTAATGGAAGTGGCAGAGAAAGAGAAAGGAGACGAATATTTATGTCGTCGTTGTAAATTTGTTTTGTTTGTTGCGGTACCTTTACGCCCAAGAAAAACCAACGCAATATTTCATTACAAAATTTTAGGAGATATACCTACTACTTTAATTTAGCAGGAATATTAAATGGACCTGATATACGAAGTTTAATGAAAGATCAAGCATTCAAAAATGCTCTCAAAGTTGACGAGCTTGTCGCATATGGCAGTGTTAAAGCTGTCATTGAAAATGTTCTTGGTTCATATCGGGCCTAAAATTGGCGCCAATTGAAAAAATACGTTCCGTGTTAAAATACATTTTCTTTTTTTTTCATCCTGATAAATTTGCCGAACTGATGAACAAGGAGAACGATTTCACCAAATAACTGCAAATCTGAGCATTGGTAGATATGTATGGGTATAGCGGAAAGAAGTTGGATTCATTGCTAGAAGACATTTGCTGGAATTTGCAGCAAAAGGTGTACGACGATGATGAGGATTAATGTTATTACGAAATAATTTTAAATCCTAGACGTTCTAGAGAAAAACTAATGACATTTGGAATACATCTGGAAAACTTAATGTTAAGAAAAAAAAGTTTGTAAAACTATCATAGTATTTTCGTATTGAGATAATAAAATAATTTTCACATGTGTGGAAGTAGACAAAATATCTTAACTAACAAATTCTTAATTTCTTAAATTTCCAATTTATTACGCCATATTGGATTTAACATTTTGAAAAGGCAAGAAATTAAAATAACATAATTTTGGACACATATCTTCCTATCTGTTCGCAATGTGCGCCAGCTGTCTACGTTACACCTACTAGCAATCCTCACTACATGTGTCTTTTATGGTTGATTGGAATTTTTAATTGGTTTATGTCATGTTCGATTTATAATTATTTCGATCATGTCGATATACTATTAATCATTAAATTGGTGTAGATTTAAATAATGGGCGAGTTATAACAATAAATTATTTTTTCGTTATTGATATTAAATAGTGGTGAAACAATTATTGCTATACGATTGCGATAACGGTTACGATTATACATTCAATAATCGTACGATTACGGGATGAGATTTCTTATGAAAATAAGAAAAACTTTTCATTAATTATTATCAGGAAACGTTTTATTTCGGAGATACAGTGTCGCAATGAAAAAAATATAATAATGTATAATTTTTTCTACTACCACGGGCTGAAGTTAGCAACAGGTTTTTAGTCACGGGCTAAAGTTAGTTTTAAGTTAGTTGACAGTTGTCAAATGTCATACAATCTTTAAAATAAAGTGCCTTTCTTATAAAATAATACTAAATAAATGTGAAAATCATTTTATTATCTCAATACAAAAATACAAACGTATTAAATAGTTTCTCAACGCCAATATTTGAAAAGTTTATATGAACATTGTACTGACATTTTAATTTCGCCGGCAGTAAACTATAACTTAAATTCGGGCACGGACTCCACTTAAAGTCCTCATAAAACATTTTCTTTACTTTCACTGAAAAACTGTCAAATTTCAAGAAATACATTTTGATTTATAACCTTTATAATCTGTGTTTATAAAATATAAAAATGTGACATTTGACGGTGACACACAGATTCCCCTATTGTTTCATAGATGGCGCTCTATACAAGTTTTTGATTTAAATCATTTTAAGATAAAAATACAAGGCCTACTATGTGAATAAATTTTTAAGAATTCATATTAGCGATTAAAAAAAATCTATGCTATGGTGTGCACTCCATTTTAAAGCAAGATTTAATTTAATTTCGTATAAAACTTTTTGTCTTTTTACTAATTTTTGAAGAAACAATTTTTTTATTGATTTTATTTTTTGTACTTTTTAAGATACCTAATTTTTGTTAATTATAAAGATATGCGAATTTCTTATACAAATAATACCAATTGCGTTATTTTAAAAATATACTAAGATTTTAAATATTTTGGCCAAAAAATGCAAAAAAGTCAAAAGTTCAACAGTTCACACCAAAATTAAATAAAACTTTAATTATTAATTGTTTTTTTAAATTTATAAAACTTATAAAAACTTGTTTTCGTTTATTTTTTAATTTTGTATATTTATTCGTATATTACGGTATTCTATAGCTATAAAGTGTTTTCCCGGACTGTCTTTAAGATATTTGTAATATGCCAAAAAATATATTTTATCCAAATAGAATTTGCTTGTATTCTATAGAATTAACATAAAAACCACTTAGACACGTACTGAGCCGTACTAATTTTGGCACCACTGTATAAATATCGGTGCATTCACCATTTTGTACAAAAAGAAATAAAAAATACACAAAATTAAAAATTAGCAAATTAGCAAAAAGAAAAATAAACAAAAAAGTTTGATTTTATAGCATTTCGAAGTAAAACCTGTATTCATACCAAAATTACATTAATTTTTTCATTAAAAAATTCTCTAGGAATTTTCGATTTAGTAAATTTTTTATAATTTTTAGTAGGGTAAAGTAGACAGTTATCGGACACTTTATAGTTATTGGACAATTAACATTAATACTGTAAAACAAGAGTTCTATCAAATCATTAGATGATGCTGTATACATTTATAAATATCTCAGTCGGTAATAATATAGAACTACTTTATTTTGGGTCCAATACAGGACAAAAAAGTTCGCACGTTACTTTGGTGGTAATATTTTTGTTTTTTTGTTAAGAGCAGGGCTGTGTTTAAATTACAATAAAAAATATTTCTAAAAAGTGTACAGATCAGTGTGTGGTATAAATGTGTTCCTCATGGTTTAAACATTGTCACTTAATGCGTTTTAATTTTAATTCTGAAAACAAACAGTAAAATGGCCAGTGTCCAATTACTGGTTGGTAAAAAATGTAAATTTGCATTATTGGACATATGTCCAATATCATACTCTATTTATATCCCTGCCATTTACCAGCCAATTCTTATGTAAAATTGTCCCCTGAATCCGAAAAGACCGTCAAAAACTATAAAAGTTAAGCAGTATTTGAGATATAGTCAATTCCATATTATATTAATTATACTTCACAAACTGTTCTACTTTTATAACTTTTGACGACATTTTCGGATTCAGCGAATAATATTTAATAGGAATTGACTGCTAAATGTCCTGGATACAAATTGCTGTTGACGAGAATTATTAGAGGCTGCTTTTTCGCTATGACATTTTTGACTAATTCATTTTAGAGAGTAAGTAATATAGTGATTTGTTCGTCACAGGACATCTTGCAGAATAACAGTGATTTAAATACAGTGCATGATAGAGAACATAAAAACTAATGGCAAAAAAATTAATAAATTCGGAAAATACTTTTAACATACCACCCGAAAAAATATTAGATATATATAAATCCTGTTCCGGCCTAAACATTATAAATGCTTCACAAACTAGAAATTACCTAAAACAGCAATTTATCTTTAAAAAAAACTTAAGACTTTATGTTATTTGATGAAAAATTGTTATGTTTTATAAAAATTGTAGTATATAATGTATAAAACCCGGCGCATTCGCCATTTTTTACAAAAAAAACTAAAACAAAATAATAATGAATCAATTATGATAATAAATCTAAAAGTTTGATTATTATAAATTTTGATATAACGTTTATGTATGTTTATCTACATAAATACAAATCATTTTATTTATAACGGATTTTGAAGAAAATTTGAATTTGTTTTTATTTTATTAATAAAAATGTTTACCTATAAGTATTTTAAAATATTATTAGTATTCTAAATACAAAAAACAATTTTGTAATTGACTAAATTAAAATTATTTCAATACAAACTCAAAACTAAAAGCGTATTATTTGTTTGCGTCATACTTTAAAAGAAGATTAATGGAATATTTCCCCAGACAAAATTTAAAAGACTAATATTTAGCAAATCCATTATTAACATAAAAAAGCCTAAACATCTTAATTGAACGAATTTACACTTAAGATATTAATAAAAAATACCTGCTATTACTGTTTATTTTGGTGTAAATATTTGCATTACGAATATAATTAAGCTATTATTTGATATTGTTAGTTCAGGAAAATGGAAAAAATAGAAAACCTATTAGCCGAGAAAATAGGTTTCTTAATATATTAAATTTCTGACCTTGAGTATGTTCGAACCAATCAATTATTTTTTAATTCGAGCCGACAAAGTTATCGATTTTTTTATAATACATTTGTTTTGTTAATTAATTAGATACCCTGATCCACGCAGTTTTAAGTCTATTTTATTGGTACACGGAGAGAAAAGTATAATTATAATACTCTTTACTATAATTTATATTACTATTCGGGACAACTATCTTGTATATTGCCAGATACTATGCATATTTAGTAATTTTTAAATATCCATGTATGTTAAACCTTAAGGTAAAATATTATTATTCTCAACCAATTTTGTTTTTAATTCTTATTATAATTAGATTTTTTCCATTACTAATAAGTATAGTAAATTTAAAAATATTATGTTGCCATTTTAAATATAAAATCGAATATTTTTATATGTTAACAATTGAAAATTGTAACATATTTATTGTACTTTTTAATAAAGAAAAATGTTATGAGAAAGAATTGAACCTACACCTCGCCAAAGTTTTTTGTTTTGAGTGCGTTCCATCAACTTCAAATACCGACAGACAGGTGTTTTGACCTATATTGGGTATCATCAGTGTCGACACGACACTGTCGAGCAACTTGTAGTAGTGGAACACACCCAAAACAAAGAAATACCTGAGCTTGTATAACATGGTTGGTAAGCCAACAGAGGCGAGATGTAAGAACATCACGTGATCCACACCGTCTAACGACGCGTCGCGACGTGGCCTTTGCCGCAATCGGTACATACTATGCAACCAAGTAGGTTCAATTCTTTCTTATAAGTATTACCAGTAATGGGTTAAGGAAGTTTATCAAAGAAACTAAGAAAATTGAATGTTTAAAATGTCATGAGTTACTATATTGTATATTATATTTAAATATATTGTTTATTTACCTTAAACATGTGTAATATATTATAATATTAGATTAAATCATATAGTAAATATTACTATTTGTAGATAGTAAAATCATCATGTGTTGTAATCTTTACTAAAATTGCATAAAAAAAATAGGATTTTGTATTACAATCTTAATATTGTTACCCTTAAAGTAAATTTTACTATATATTTTTTACTCTCTAAAATTTACTATACATTTCTCTCCGTGTAATTTTAACAAAAAATATCTAAAAAAAACTTACCAGTGCTTTCTAAGGCTCTCTCAAAATCTTCACCCTGATCCTCAATAAAATCCAATCCTGCAAAACAAAAAACCGAAATTTACTAAAAAAAAATCTATTTTCATGTAGTTGAAAATATTTTTTTTATAAAGTAAAACTAACCCATGATTGGTTATGTCACTATAAACAACAATAACAATACCAAAAACACTGATATGACACACGGAGTTCCAAAATAAACAACTTTAGTGCACCACTATGTTTTATAGACAGACAGACAGAGATACCCGTTTCACAAAAGTGTCCCACCAAGTGTTAAGAATTTCTTATTATATTTATATTAAATTGCAATTGCGTATACGTAGCTGCTTTATTGTGTTCCATGTTTTCTTGGTGGTTACCTTCAAAGGCCATCGAAATTCATTGGCTAAAACGACCCATTACCAAAGTCAAGTCACCGGCGTTTCACAGCGCTTGCTAGATCCATTTTATTCCGCTTTTGTAGTTGTAGACTTAGGTGACTTGATCGTGCTGCTATGGACAGAGTTTTATTTGTAGTTTTTTTTTTCAAAATTTTGTGCATATTATGATGATTATAATAATAAAAATAATAATAATTTATTAAGTGGGCCCCCAAAAAAATAATTTGTAAAACCTACACTGTTAAAAATGTTTGTAAAATTATTACATTTTTACTAAGATAAGTTGTAGTTTTACAATCTATACACAGTAAAAAAAATTAACTCTAAGCAACACTAATTAGAGTTCACACAGGTCCACACTACATCAGAATTAATTTGTAGTGTAATTTTCCCCAAGTAAGCAAGTATGATTTAACACTATAGCACTGAGGATAAAATAATTTTACACTGTATTAAAAAGTGTTAATTTACCTAAAATCGTGCACTTCTACACTTCCTGAGTAAAATCCCACTTTTGTTCAGGAAAATTAACAATACTTTGGAAAAGTTCTAATTTTAGAAAGGTACTTTTACTCTTTTAGTGCAAACTTCTAGTGTAAATTAACACTATTATTTAAGTAAAACCTATTGGTGGTAGTGAATAAAACGAAAAGGCATTTATTTGGAACAAAAATCTATGACAATTATCAAAATCGGTGCCTTTTAAAATATAATTTTATATTTGAGTCGTGTGGCTGGCTTAAGCAAAATGATTCATTAAAACGTAAAAGTTTTAGATCAATGCAATATTTTACTGGCTGTCAACTTGTAAGCAATGAATTATCTTGACAATTCATCAGTAATCCATTTTTCTGTTATAAAAAATGGGTGATCCCATTGGTAGAGAGGCGTCAGGCGGCTGTATATCGGGGATTTACCACACGTGTACACATTTTCCATAATATTAATAAAAATGTAGGTATAGGTTAATATAACAACCATTACGCTTGAAAATAAAAAGTAAATCAAGTGTGTATGTATTTATATTATTAATGTTACAAGTACCCGACCTAGTGCCGTAAATTATTGATATATAATATATGTCGGGTATGGACATCCTTTTAACATATTGCTATTTATTGAGTATAAGTATAATACTTACCAAAAAATAAGAATATCCCCTTATGGAATCACCGTAATTAAAATCTAACTGAACAAAAATGCCACTAATATTTTTACCCCTACACTAAAAAATTTACACGGGTAAAATTTTTTACTGTGTATGTATAAATCAACAATATTTGTATTGTAATATTGCGAAACAAATTTTTTTTAGTTCAGTAAAATTGTAAAATATATTTTGTAATTTTCTTAAAATGAGTTGTAAGGAATTGTGTAGTATAATTACAATACACCATTTTAAAATTACTAAATATATTTAGCAAAATAAGTAATGTTACTGAACAAATTTTTAATAAATGCTTAGTGAATTTCAACAAACTTTTTGTAATTTTCCCAAAGTGAGTTGTAATGAATCGTGTAGTGAATTTACAAAACTTTCATTAGGTTTTGGTAATCCATTTTTAGCAAGTTTTATGGAATGTTTAATTTTTAAATAATGTATACTTCCTTGCTTGTTTATATTCTTTATTTGCGACTAGTTTCGGTTATACACCATCTTGTAGTTTGCCTGAAGATGGTGTATAACCGAAACTAGTCGCAAAAAAAGAATATAAACAAGCAAGGAAGTATACATTATTTAAAAATTAAACATTGCAAAACTTTGTTTTATTATTACTATATTGTGGTACGTAAAAACTTCCCAAACATGTTTAGTAAAATTACAATAGAAATTTTTAACAGTGTAACAAGATGGTCGTGAAAAATAAATATTTTCTAAAATAACTTAAAAAAACAAACTTTAAAAATCCTACAACATAAAACCATGTAAATTATTTAAAAATGAATAAAAATCTAAAATTATTTTAGGTTTAAAAATGAATTAGTCAAAAATGACTAAAGCAGCCACTAATAATTCTTGTCAATAGCAATTTGTATACAAATTAATTGTAAATAATATAACATTAAAAATATTAACATTATAAAAAATTCGATTTTTACAAATTTGACGTTTGCCATATAAATTTAAAGTATGACTACCTATATTCTTGTAACATTTCTAAAAATCGAAAAAAAAATATGAAATTTAATAAAAAAAAATTAAAATTATAAAATGCAAAAATTAAAAATTATGGAAAATTCAAAAAAATAAATATTAAAAAAAAGCAGCCACTAATAATTCTTGTCAATAGCAATTTGTATGCAAATTAATTGTAAATAATATAACATTAAAAATATTAACATTATAAAAAATTCGATTTTTACAAATTTGACGTTTGCCATATAAATTTAAAGTATGACTATATTCTTGTAACATTTCTAAAAATCGAAAAAAAAAATGAAATTTAATAAAAAAAAAATTATAAAATGCAAAAATTAAAAATTATGGAAAATTCAAAAAAATAAATATTTAAAAAAAGCAGCCACTAATAATTCTTGTCAAAAGCAATTTGTATACAAATTAATTGTAAATAATATACATAACATTAATAATATTAACATTATAAAAAATTCGATTTTTACAAATTTGACGTTGGCCATATAAATTTAAAGTATGACTGTATTCTTGTAACATTTCTAAAAATCGAAAAAAAAATGAAATTTAATAAAAAAAAAAATTATAAAATGCAAAAATTAAAAATTATGGAAAATTCAAAAAAATAAATATTTAAAAAAAGCAGCCACTAATAATTCTTGTCAAAAGCAATTTGTATACAAATTAATTGTAAATAATATAACATTAAAAATATTAACATTATAAAAAATTCGATTTTTACAAATTTGACGTTAGCAATATAAATTTGAAGTACGACTGTATTCTTGTAACATTTCTAAAAATCGAAAAAAAAATATGAAATTTATTAAAAAAAAAATTATAAAATGCAAAAATTAAAAATTATAGAAAATTCAAAAAAATAAATATTTGAAAATGTAAAATTGTGAAATTAATTTTAATAGTAATTTAGTTCCTATTCTGAAAGCCCACAAATACATTATTAATTTCTAAAACAAAACAACTAAATATTTACCACTCATCAACATAGACATAAATAAAACCCGAAAACTTTAACCAAATGTCCGACAATCCACAGTTTCATGTAGGCATCTACATGCCCCAACTTATTAAAGAATCAAAATCCAAAAACTCAAAAAGCTAACATTAAAGAAAATGACAAACGCCTCGTGCTAAGGTTAACACAAAAATGACCACAAATTGACAGACCAAAACTAAAAATAAAACGCGATTGATCGATTCGATTAATTATGTGTATGTACACATTTCTTTGGAAAGAAAGTAAGCACTGTTTTTTAACAACAAGACGTGGACTTTTTTCGTTGATCTTTGGTGACAAACTGGTGTTTATCGATCAACGAAAGATGTTTTTATGTTTTAATCTTTTGCCGAATGGTTTCATCAAATTGAAATATGAGTGCGTACGCTGTAAGCTGTCTAGATATGTACATATCCCATAGGCATGTGTAACATAAGTATATTGATCTTTTTTTTTTCAACCGGATAGTAATGGTATTAATATTTCGATAAAAATCGCACGTTATAGTAATTAGAGAGTAATATAATTATCTGTGGTATTCACTAAAAGCTGAATAAAATGCATTTTTATATACTCATAAGTAACTTTGTATTATGATTTAAATGGATTTTTAAATTGATGTTATGTGTTATATTAGTTAACCTCCTACAGCTTTGTTGAATTTTTTTTCAAAATTAATTTCTTTTTAAAAAATAATATTTAAAATGTACCTATAGAAATTGCCATTTTACCATTTTTTAGATTACCAAAAATTTACGTAAAAATTACGCCATAATCACAAAAAAATTTATAAAGTCTCTTAAAAATCATTTAGTTTTAATCATTTCCTAATAACTAAAACTTTCCTTATTATATTTTAGAAAAATATTTATAAAAAAATATTATATAAATGTTTAGATAAGTAATAGATGCCATCTTAAAAAAAATATTTTTTACTTTAAACTTATTTTTTCTTGTTTAGTTAATATTAATAGTATTTATTACCAGTAATAACCCTAAAAAATACCAGGGGAATAGGAACTCTTTACGGTTATAAAGTGGTCTTAATATCGTAAAAAGTCACATTTACCATTAAGTATTCTAACGTTAAAATTACCATTAAATTTTCCTTCAAGTGAAATACACTTATAAGTAATTTTCTTTAGTAAAAATTACGCCCCTCATAATACTTTAAAGTGTTGAAACTTAAGGGTTATTAAAATAGGTAAATAAAACTTATTAAATAACTTTAAAAAAATTTACTTCAAAGTAAATTTTTAGGGTTAATTTAAAAAAATATTTACTTAAAATGCTGCTTGGAAAATAAATTAATTATACTTTTATTAAAAAATTATGGTTAGAAATTTTTGCAAAAAATTGATTGGAAATATAATTTTGTTTAATACAAAAGCGAACTGTTAGTAAATCTTTAAATACATGATAGTTTAAAATATTTCAAATTTATAAATGAAAACCTAAAATTTTTAGTTAGGAAAATTTTAAACCAATAAAATTTTAAATTAAAAATT